AGAAGAAGAAGAAGAAGAAGAAGAAGAAGAAGAAGAAGAAGAAGAAGAAGAAAGATGAGCTTTTATTGGAATATGAATAGATTATATGTCTATATACTTAATATGAAAAGATTGAATGATTATATATATGATGTTCTCTTATATTCAAAACCTTTTTTCCACCCTTTCTATTGCCCTTTACCTTCTGTATCCCTCCCCCATCTCCTAATAGTTTTGAAAATAAATAAATAAATAAATAAATAAATAAATAAATAAATAAATAAATAAATAAATAAATTAAAAAAAATAATTAATGGGTCTCCTGGAGAGACCCATTAATTATTGCAGTGACCCATTCTGTTATCGGCCTGGCTGCTTTGATTAGCCAGGCTGGGCAAGGGTCAAGGGAGGAGGTGGTGGCCCGACAGCGATCAAGCGCTTTGTCCACCAAATCCAGCGTCACAGGCTGAAAGAAGTCAAGAATTACTGGGCAAGGGGGAGCGCTGAATATCTCCGCTCGAGTCACTGTATTTAAAAAAGGAGAGAGGTCACGGCGGTTGGTCTCCACCTTTGATTTTAAAAATGCTGCAAATTGGGCAGGCGAGATATTTGAGGGAGGCCTATCACCCAGACCAATTCCGGATAGATCGCAAACTATATGGAATAATTCCGTCTCCTGATTAGAAGCTTCGCTTATCCGGTCAGTGAAGTGTGATCATTTAGCAGCCCTTACCTTTGCCAGGTAATGGTTAGTTGCGATCCTGACAGCTACCTTGTTATAATCCGTCGGTTCCTCCCTCCAACTGCACTCTAGCCATCTCCTGATTCGCTTCATAGCTCATAGGTCTCGGTTATACCAGGATCCTGCCCAAGCTCTGCAACAGAGAGGGTATTTAGGAGCAATCGTGTCTACGGCCCTAGTGGCAGCGACAAACCAGCCGTCCACCAGAGCTTCGACAGGAGCGCCAGACAGATCAGCTGGAATCCCTCTCATGGTATCCTGGAATCTCATTGGATCCAGTAACCTTCGAGGGTGGACCATTAAAATAGGCCCATGCTCCCTGCGAAGGGGAAGTGCCACTGAGAGGTTACATGTTATTAGGTGGTGATTCAACCATAACAAGGGGACTGACTCAATCCATGGATTGTTGTGCTCTATTGCTTTTAAATGTGTTTTAGTATGGATTTTAATTACCATGTTTCATATAACACTAGTTTAATTCTTTTTTAATATTTATATACCTACTGTATTTAGAATTTACGTGTTGTCTTTTTAATTATGGAAGCTGCTTTGGGTCCTTTTAAGGAGAAAGGAGGGGTAAAATATTTTAAATACATTCAATACTGTAAATAAATTAAAGAACTCCCTGGCAAGAGAGGCTGGGTTTGTCCAATCCTTCTTGTCCTTCCTTCAGCAGATAACATTGTTTTCAATGAGATTGGCCTTTGGCAATACAGTTAGATTGCTGTGGAACGGACTTTTCAGTGAGAGGGTGCTGTTCTTTCTTCTATTGAAGCATTCTGAATATGTTTCTAATCTATTTCATGTTTTAATTGTATTTGTTCTTTGCAATCTATTCTATGCCACTTGGTCTCAGTAGATACTCATTCAGTCAAACAATCCAACAGTAAATTACAGATTCCCATCCTCATCTTTCATAGTAAGATTTTCTAGGACTCTGCATTGCTTCAAAAACCTTCACAATATGTTTCACCACAGCTGACACGGGGCTGAGAGCAGTGTCCATGTGTGCATGTGTCCATCATGGGGAGCCACACCGCTTCTAGCCCATTTTCACCTTTCCTAACATCTGTTGTCTCTGTGAGAGATACAAAATGTGCAGGTCAAACCAGGACAAAGGATGCAAGCGAGAGGTTTGGGAAGAAGAGAAAAGGGCGAGCAGGAAGCAGAGTGGGAATAGAGGGTAATAAAACAGGAGCTCCCCAGCACCAATCCCTTTTCTGCTATTTGTTTTCTTCATAAAGCCACTAAGTAAACGGAGAGCCAGAGGCCAGCCAAAGGTCTGCCTTGGATCTGTTCCCTCCAGCTGTTGATCTCACTCCTTGACTTCTCAGGCTGCCTTCTGAGACAGAGAGGTATTTCTCAGAAGATCAATCATGGGAAAGTGCTCTTATTTCATCAGAGCCTCTGTTCAGTTTTTCACGTCCTCTGGAAAGCCCTTTGTTCTTAGAGAAAGAACCCCTGGCCAGATACAGACATTGAAGACAGCCCGTAATTAGAGCGGAAAGCACGTTAACATTCCAGAGAAGTAATTGAGAGTTTCCATGCTTAAATCCAAAAGACCAGTCCCCAGACTGAACTGCTAATCTTCATATTGTCCTGGAGATGAAAGACCCCTCTGCACGCTCATTTTAGTTAAAAAACGTTCCTCTTCCAGTGAGGGGCTGTCTCTGACTTCTGCTTCTGGCCTCAGTAAGCAAGAAGGGGATAGTCAGCAAGCACATGATTAAATGCTGTTTACATTTTTTAACTTCCCAAGGGAACAGCCAATAAAAAGTTATGGGACTGGGGTCACTGAAAACTAGTGAACCAACAGTGCGGTTACACATTGAAAATCTGGGGTTTTGTGAGGTTTTGCATGCTTCAAATAAATTTGCACAACATACAGCTGAGTGTGCATTGGTTTTTAGCCAGGAAGCATGGGGTTTTGTTCTGAAAGTGGGGTATTTCAAACAGCTTTGAGGGGATTGTTTATTTTAACTCAATTCTGGATGCAATTTATTTTTAATTGTTTTGACATGTGTGCTCACCTGTGTCGGAGTAAATTGTGTTGATGAGGCTTGTCAAGTAATGGATGTCAAGATCATGGGGTTTTGGCTGCAGGGGAACCTTGCAGTCCAATCTGTGATATATTTTTTTGTATCTGTAATACTGTAATAGCGGTATCCCAGTTTGAAAGAAATTTAAAAATATAAAACAAATATCAAAAATAAAACTAGTGGCAGCAAGTGGCTGTGAGAGCCAGCACAAGGATGGGTTGGAGCCACAAACCCATTGCATTTGAGGCTCCCTGCAGCCCCAAACCCACAATCCTGGCACCCATTACTTGACCAGCCCCACACAGCTGAGTGCACATGCCAGCGCAAGGATGGGTGGGTACAAGACAAAGCTTCAAAGCAATGATTTTAAAAGCCTGCGTAGCCCCTTGGCCAATATGCAATGGAGCTTAAAACAGATTAAAAGTTGTCCCAAGAGGGACTACTGACCCCAAAATCATGTGACTAGCACGTGACTTGAAATAGTCATGTTCCATTTTGGAACATTACTGCAAAGAAAGACATATATTTTCTTGCTGTTAGTGGTGAATTGGAGGGTGGGGTGGGGGGAACTAGCCTGGATAGAAAGTCGAATTTATTTTCAGTTTTAAACCAAGCATTTTCTTTTCTCCTAGATGGAGTGGCTGCATTTCGTGCCTTCTTGAAGACAGAATTCAGTGAAGAAAACCTAGAATTCTGGTTGGCTTGTGAGGAATTCAAAAAGACACGGTCAACTGCCAAGCTCGCTTCGAAGGCCCAAAGGATTTTTGAAGAATTCATTGATGTGCAAGCACCACGAGAGGTATGTTGATACGAGGCATGCTTATTTGGTGGCATGGGTTTCTGAGCTGCAGTTCTTGCTATGAGGATTCTAGCAAAGTCTGTCTACCTATCATGTGTCATTCTTTCTAAGATTGTAGATCCTCATTCTGGTATGAGCCCAAGAAGCTCTTATGCCACCCTCATCAGTGAGTGGGCTGCCCAAGCTGTTAAAAATATTGACTGTAATTAGTATATTGTCTTATCCTGAATGGTTATCCAAGGAAATCAAATTGTATGCGTATATCCCACCCCTGTGTTATATGCATGCTAACCTTGTGAGGTAGTTTGGGTTGAGACATAAGTCATTGGCTTGTAGTCACCCAGCAGCTTCTCGGTCAAGCAGAGATTTTTCGCCCAGATCTTTCCTTCAGCACCACAGTGGCATAGCGGAAATAGCTGGAGCATGTTGCATAGACAGGTCCTCTCCAGCATGAGGGAGGCAAACATGACAAAAGGAGACACATACACCAGATCATGTATATGTTGGCCTGTAGGTCTAGGAATTACTGGCAGTTCAGAGTTTCTCCCAGAGTTGAAAGCTATTCCCCTGTTACAAACCACAGTCTTTCCCACGGGACTGCACAGCTACTAGAACATTTCCCACCTTTCAGCATGCTATAGTAACTGTGATGTGGGCTGGTGTGATCTGAGCCCAGATCTGTATTCAGGCATAAAGGCTCACCAGCTGTTCTTTCAAAAGTCAGCCAAGCCATTGTGAGGACAGTGTGGGATTGCTCTGGGTAGCCTATTTTTAAAAGTGATGGAGAAAAAGTGTGGTAAATACAGTTTTCTGAAACATGAAAGTAATCTTCATCAAAGTAAGCTCCTTCAGCCTCTTTGTTCATACCATACTATGAAGCAGCAGGATGGAGTAACACTTAATGACTGCAGAGCAAAAAATTCACAAATTTAGCTGTGTAACTCTGTGGATTGGTATGGGTTGCAATAGTGTGCACTTAGCTGAAAGTTAGCCCCACTGGACACACGGGGATCTAATTCCAAGAAAACATGCATAGGAAGGGAGAGCAGGTCCTTCATGACTCATTAGGAGGCTCAGATCACACAGAAAGTCATTTTCTGCTCTGGGCAGAGATTATAGAATCAAATTCCCAATCGTTTGTTCTTTTACTGATCTAAAGTAAATGAATATCACAAGCAAGTAAGCAAAGCTTTCAAAAGCTTGCTGGAGAATTCTGGGAGCTCTAAGTTTAAAAAGCAACTTATTTAAACTCTGCAGGAAAGCCAGTACATTTTGGGGTTGGTTCAATATACAGTTTTTTTTCCAGTTGAGCCAACTTTCTAGCCCACCCAACTTTCTCCTGCTTTCACCTGCCACGTTCTGTCATGCTAACACATGCACCTACCCAGACCCAGACAGCATTGGATCAAATGTATTCTGCATTCACTTTTCTGTTGAAAAATAGTGAAGTGATTGTAACAGGGTGACAACATCTGAGTATTTGTTCTGAGTAAAGAAGGTTGTAGAAGCAAGAACAGCTCCCACATAAAACACCTTCATGTTTTCTCCCCCTCAGGTTAACATAGACTTCCAGACTCGGGAGGTGACAAGAAGGAACATCCAAGAGCCCTCACCATCATGTTTTAACCAGGCCCAGGGGAAAATCTACAACCTTATGGAAAAAGACTCTTATCCCAGGTTCCTGAGGTCCAAAATTTACGCAGACCTGCTGTCTCAAACCCAGAGGAGGCTCAGCTAGAGCAGGGACGGGTGGGTAGGAGCTGCCCCTCCTTAGACACGATGAGGTCTCTGCACCAGCCAAATTCATTCCCATACGTGAAATTTAAGTTCATTGGTGTTATCACAGCAGTAGAATGAGGTGGGGAATGGAACAGAAGAAGCATGGAGGGACAGGGGCTGTGTGTGTGTATGTAGAATATTTCACATCACAAGTCCAGTGTACACAAATGTCTTGGTTTTTATTTGAAGCACAGGTATACAAACAGCAGTGAAACTGTTTCCAGTTGATCCTCCTTTCAGGAGCATAACATCTGCTGTATATTTTAATGGTCAATTTTGGTAATCATAAAGCCAGGCTTCCTAAAATTTTACTATATCAGGCTAATCCGCAAACAAACATCAGAGTCAGGCCATGGGCATCAAAAGCACAGCCATACCAAGTACCTGCTAGATCAGCTAGGACAGGGGTCTAGCCCTTGTCAGCAAACTCCATAAATCACTGGCTGGAAGTTCAAAGAACCTGGTAGACCGAACAGTCCAGATTGCATCTACGTATTCATCATTAACCAGAATCAGAACAAGATACAGGACAGTAGCAAGCAAACGAAGAGATAGGCAGACCTGTGGCGGTTGTAGAATGGCAAGGAAGGCCAAAAGTTTGCGCTGCTTCAGGTCTGGCCTGAGACCCTTGGAATCGAGATTGGGAGAAGGAACAAGAAAGTCAACGCCAGACATTTTGAATTTCCTGAAGGCAGAGGAAGAAGTGGCTCTCAAAATCCACCTAAATCAAGTTACAGAGTATCTAAAGCCAGCCAAGTTATTTTGTCATACAATCAGATAAAAATCTCAAAAGCTCCTTTCCTCAATCCTGGTAGTTAAAACAGAACAACAAATTAAATGGTTAAGTGTTTGACCGCTTGCTCTGTCTCAGGATAGGGCTGGCCCCAAGGAACAGTCTATCTTGGGATTATGCTAAGCAGAACTTTTAGGGGAGAGTATATATACAGCCACCTCTCCCTCTACTTTGCAGTTTATTTATTACTTATTTATTTAAACTTTTTTAAATCAGTCTTTCTCCTTAAAAAGGACCCAAGGTGGCTTAACAACAATTAAAAGACAGTATCTAAGTGAGTATACAGTGAGTATACAATACTAAAAGGATCAATGAATTAATACCAAAAAAAACATACACATAAGCACCATCAAAAGACATTCAGCGCAGTAAGGTACAACAGTCCGTTTTTTAAAAATCCGCTTGGCAGCCTTTTACTCAAGGAAAGCTTGACTGCAGAGACAGGTCTTTACCAGCTTGCAGAAGGATAGTAAAGATGAGGACCAGCTTAGCTTCCCGTGGGAGGGAGTTCCAGAGTCTGGGAGCAGCAACAGAGAAGGCCCTCTCCCATGTCCCCGCCAACCGCACCTGTGAGAGTGGTGGGGCCGAGCGAAAGGCCTCCCCTGATGATCTTAAAACCCAAGCTGGCTCAAAAAAGGGAAATGCAGGCCTTGAATTTACCAAAAGGAGCTTACAGATAAGAAAGTTCTGGATTCAAATCCAGGGAAGCTCTGACAGGATGTTGCATAGTATCTTTTCACAATATGTTTGGGTGCCATCCTACTGATGTAGTAGGGTAAAATTATGAACTACTGACCAACTTTGACAATCTTCTGATCTGCTGCTGGAGACAAGGACATGACAGAGTTCAAGCTGTAGGAGACTGGAATTTGCTTCAGGAGCTAGAGCAAGTCTAGGTCAAAACAGAACAACACACAATCAGCTCCTCTTCTGTGAATTTTTAACAACATGATCTGAAATAATCTCTGTCCTTTTGTCCTTCTACATAGAATACAGGTCAAATTCACAGGTCATATTTTGTCTTCTATTTCATGCAAAATTTGAACAGAGTTCTCTTCCATAACCACACTTTATTAGGAATATCAAGGTATTTTTAAAATTATATTTAAAGATAGGAACTAAAGATGCAACAAAAGAAGATACCCCCTAGAATCAAATTCATTTCTTCATGTTCCCTGATAGTAAGGGTAGTCCTGGAAAATTAAGTATCTCCAAAAAGGTCAAAACTGAAGGATCATTCAAGTACAGATTGGGCCTCCTGTTCTTATGAGTAATAATGGCCAGCTCTGGTCTGGGACAAAAGGGTCAACAATCCAATATACCAAAATTCTACAAAAGCATTCAGAAAAAGCGACATCAGCCCAACCTGCCTCTTCCAGATATTTTGAACAACAAGCTCCATCATTCCTTATTTCTTGCCCTGACAGTTGGGCTGATGGGAGTTGGAGTCCAGTGCATCTGGAGATCACTGTTAAGAAAGCCTATTTTAAAAGGAAGTCTAGGAATGACAACTCCCTAGACAACAAAGAAAATTGCCATTCTCCTGCTCTCATGCACCAATGGACAAAAGTGGCACCAAATATACCACCATTGTTATTTATATTCATTGCTGACTGTTATTTATTATTCACTGATTCATGTTGGTGCTCTGCAAACATACAAAAACATGCAGATCCTGCTCAAAGGGAACCTACTTAGGGAGAAAAACACAAATGAAAATCCAAGTCTTGCAACTCATAGTGTGTGAATATATAGACATAGATATTTGATATTACGCAGCACATGTTTATCTACTCTTAATCCAGCAGCATGCTATGTATATGCATATGATGTATTTTAGTACCTAAGACACACAGCTTAAAATAGACTTCCTGCAGACATCTGCTGTGTCGTAATGCTACCAAACTCTGCAAAGAACAAATATTTAAGGACATACTTTGTAATCGGGGAATAGGGTGGGGAATTTATGCAATAAGGTGAGCTTAAGGAAATAGGGTTATAATGCTGATGAGTGCAAGACAGGTGAACTGCACTGCTTTCTATCTCTGTCACAACATACTTGTTTTGTCCTTCCAAATATGAAGCACAGAGAACTGTAAGGCAGAAAATGGTTTCCATTATATGGCAAAAAGTCTGTATTGCTTTTGCTACCTTTGTGATAGACTCACCTTATTTTGGAGCTTCCTAAATTTTTCACTCAGCAATAAACTAGGTCTGTGAAAGATCTTTCCCAGGTCTAGATCTTTCACATACCCAAGGCTCAAGTAAAAAGCTCAAGACATCTGATAGGGTCACAGCCAGAAATTCAAATTGTATTCCTTGCGGTGAAATGAGATTACGCTAACTTTCCTTTGTTGCCTTTGAGAGCTCCCACAACATTTGCAGCCAGAGGTATACGGGGAGGTCAGAACATGATAAAGTAGAAACAGAGGTGGGCTTAAAAGGAGTGGATGCACACTGGATGTCTGTTTACTGCTTTCAAAACTTCTGTACAGGCATACTCTGAGAACGTAAAGAAAACCCGCCAATAGGATTTCCTCAACAAACACATTTACTGGCAGTTTCACACCTGTGCTAAAGTAGCAGAGTACTTCCTGACTCCCATGTTAAATGCCTACCTTATAGCTGGCCCACAGATGTAGTAAGATCCTATGAAGTAGCAAAAACAGTCAATCAGCCGTGGTGTGTAGCCTTTTCTGACCTTCTACCACAGCAGCATGAATGGGAGAAGGGAGCTGCCTATGTGAATGTTCCACAGACAAAACAAGGCAGGCACAATCAAAGAAGGTGCTAGTCTAGAATTGTTTCTATAGCACTGCAAGTAGTCTTTTAATTTATCCAAGATTCAATCCATTAAATGCTGTCTGTGTGGCACAAACTGGGGGGGGGGGGGGG